CTTACTATTATCTTCCTTACTATTATTTTCCCCCAAAAGATAATGAACTATATATAGAATTGAAAAAAAGGGACCAAACCGGCAGGTGGCATATTCTAGACTCCATATGCAGCCTCACTGCTCCTCAATTCTAATCCCAAACCCCCCAGAAGAAAAACTTCTTACCACTTGGGCTTCGGAACAGGACAGGTGCAGTTGAGTCCTGGGGAGTGGCCTCCAGGTCCAATTCATCACTGTCAGAAGCCTCAGCCAAAGCTGTTTCTGCTCCTTCCTCATGCTGCCAGGCCTCCTGTCCTGGCTCCTTAGTCTCTGCATCACTACTCACCTGGCCAGAATGAGAGGCTGTCTCTTCCAGGCCATTACTAGGCAGAGCAATGACCTGAGCTCTCATCAGGGCCTCCATTTCTTCAAAGAAGGGGCAGGTCGCAGGTGGGTGGCCACTCTTGACTTTCCTATAGCTCTTCTGAAGACCTTTGAACTTTGTCCGACACTGTTCCAGGGTTCGGAAGAAACCATACTCCCGGAGTCTCTCAGCCACACACCCATATACTTGGCTGTTTCGATGACAGTTTTGGAGAGCCTCATAAAATTCAGTTTGGCTAAGAATTGCAAGGAGAGTTCTGGTCTCTTCATAGCCCCAGTGTACACCTGTCACCTTCTCATCCTCAAAGCCCCAGTGATCCTTTTCCACCCAGTTTCTCTCTCTCTTGGATGATAGCATATCAGCATGTACTTGTCTATCACCTGTGTGGCTGCCTTTTGGGACTTCTTTCTCTTTGGAGCCTAGCAGATCTGAGATCCATGGCTCTGCGTGCTCCAACCTGGAGACCACACCGGATTTAGGAAATGGAAATCCTGCTTACAGAGAAGCAAACAAAGGGAATCATAGTTTGGACTATACAAAACATGTCTGAATTCAGTTCTGCTTTTTTTTAATCCAAGGGATTATAAGGGAAGTATCTAGGGAAATGTTTTCAGAAAGTTCAGTTGAGTTGAAGAATAGGGAAAATACAGGAAACCTCAAAAGATAAAAAGTATTTTATTTTCCAGAGCAGAGTAACAAGAGGGGAAAAGGTTCTGTTGTATGTTCAGAGTTAATAATTCTATTCCAAGTTTCTCCCTAGCCTTCTGAACCATTATTTACAGGTTGTAGCACTGCTAGAAATAGTTACCTCCTGTCTCCTATTCTTTACTCAGGCTAGAGAAGTAAACAGTGACTTCAGAGGAGAGGGGAGAAGAGATTGTCTTCAACTCATCTGTTTCCTTCATACTCAGGCATCAAATTCTATAATTGTTTCTCTTAATACATCCTTCTTCTCCATTCCTGTTGCCAGACCCTGGATCCTCTCACTTGTGGATAACTGCAGCAGTCACCTGAACTTCAGGCTCTTTTTTTTTTTTTTTTTAATATTTTTTAGTTGTAAAGGGATCTTTTATTTATTTATTTATTTGTGGTGCTGAGGATTGAACCCAGGGCCTCACACATGCCAAGTAAGTGCTCTACCATTGAGCCACAACCCTAGCCCCGAACTTCAGGCTTTTGCTTCCCTAGTTAACACACTATTCTGCTGAGCCTTAACCCTTAACCTTAGTGCCTTGCACTGTCCATTTCTGTTTATTTTTTCCTTCCCAGAACAACTACACTGTTATTCACCACTCGGTACCTTTCCTTTAACTTCCTTTCTCCTAGCCAAACTCAACCCATCCTTCAAGAAGCTATACTTGCCAATGCCCTCAAGAGGCCTTCACTACAGCCCTACCTCATCTCCACTCTTTCAAACCCCCACAGTACTTACACTGTTAAGTTGTTAAGCATTGTTTCAATACAGTTCTGTTTAGCACATATTTATAGTTTGCAATCATATTGTAAGCTCTTTGAGGATAGGTACCTTTTCTTATTGTAGAGTACCCTGCAAAATGTTGAGCACATTGTAGGTGTTTAGGAACTGATAAACTCTGCAAGTCTGTGTGTGAGGTTAGAGGATTTCACCTGAAAGACTAAACCGAAACGAATATCAAACTTTCAAGTTTCTTGAATATCAAAATTCAAGAAAGATAAGATCAGAATTCAAAGGAACTTCAAAAAGTTTTAAATGAAATCATCAAAGGGGAAAAAAAACAAACAAAATGGAGTTCACTAGAGTACAAAGAAGAAAAACAAGTTCTACCAATCAAGACCAAGAATAAGAGACTAGGTACAAAGGCACTGAAGAAAAGATATGAAAGTTACTAGGTGAACAAAAATCCTCCCATAATTATGAGTTGGGCTATACTGAAAGAAGATATTGCAAAATTCTGAAGTAAAATTCTTAACTCAGCCTCTACCTAACACACCCTCACTGGAATAATACACATAATTTTGTTCTCCACAATTATCATATTTGGAGAACTTAAAAGTTCCAAATGAGAGAATAATAAAAGCTAAGGTCTAGAGAATAGAGATTATGGGGGAAAGCTTAAAAATACAAGTGTGGTTTAATTTGGAGAAGTAAAACAACTAAAAGATGTGCTCACCCGTACAGAAAAGCATTTTTATCTAGAAAATATGAACTACTATTACCATTACTAACAGAATAATTCCAAGTCCTGATAAAAACTAGGAAGTCATTTTCTTAACAGACTTATCAAAAGAGGACATATAAGACGACAACATACTGGCGGGCTGCCTACAATATACTGCATGTCTTCAGGGAGACCCAATAACCACACATTCTATGATTTCCACTGAAATCCCTTTCCCTCTCACTATCCCCAACCCTACTTCCCAACTTAGAATGGCATTCTAACTTCCCATATGAATCTACTACTCCTCACCACTCCTTTGAAAAGGTCTGAGCTTCTCCTTTGGGTTCATCTGTTCCTGTGGTCCCAGGTCTGGACTTCTTGCCCTCTCTTTCTTGGGTACACTCCGGGGCTGGGGTTCCATTGACTCCTGCTGAACACTTAAGAACTCTTGTGATGATTTCAGGGGTGTCATCTTCTCCAAGTGCACTTCCTGCCCCTTCACAGAGACTGTGACCTAGAAACAACCCCCATTAATTGTCACTGCAAGATCATAGTGAGAGGCATTCCCAGAGGAGATTATTTAATTCACCCAGAGTTCAAAGTTCATCCTTCTAGGTTAAGGCTAGAGTTGTAGGGGTATTGGGAGGTTATAGCAAAGCCCTTATTCCATTATCATTAGCTTAAAGCAGCTGGAACACCAGAAGGAAAAGACCAAAGCGTAAGCAACAGGATGGGGGGCGGGGAATCCTTTTTCTTCCCCATCAAGTAAGAAAGTATGAAATGAAGAAAAATTCATTGTGACAAGAAAGGTGAGGTTACACACAGGTAGAATCTTCATGTGAGCACCATCTGAAAAAGTTACCTGTTGCAGACCAGAAGTATAAGGGAGACTTGTGCCTGTCTGTACTTTAAATTGGCCCTCTACCCTTGCCCCTTCCCAGTCTCACACTTCTGAATTTCCCCTTCCCTTCTCACCGAAGGTCCATGTCTTCCAGGCTCTCTTTCTAAATCTTCCACCAGTGTCACTGCCTCCTCTCCATTTTCTGGACATTGTTCTTGTACCAAATTCTGGATCTCCCCAGGTAAGACAGTCAGGAACTGCTCTAGTACCAACAATTCTACAATCTGTTCCTTGGTACGTACTTCTGGCCTCAGCCACCGACAACAAAGTTCCCAGAGTTGGCTGAAAGCCTCCCGAGGTCCAGCGACCTCATGGTAATGGAATTTCCTGAAGCGTTGTCTTAAGGTTTCAGAGTTAGGGCCATTCCCTCTCAAAGTGGGCTTGGCCATCATTCATAGCAGAAAGCAGCTTCCCTTCAATTAAGAGTCAGGGTTCCAGGGTTTACACCTATCTTCCCATGTCCTTGAAGAATTAAATGAAGATGAGTCTCTCTCTGTGTAAAAGCAGTTTCTTCCTAGAGTAGAGATGACACTAACAGAGGAATGTATTCACATGTCTACAGCCTTGCCAGAGCCGGCCTGACTTCTTACATGCTCCAAGTGGTCATCTAAGTGGCACCATTCTCAGGGCAACAAGTCAACAATGAGCAAGAAGGATGACCTTTAAAAAGCTGCGCTTCTTGACTTACAGGGCAGCCCCAGGAAGCTGCAGAAAATAGTACTATCTGCTCTTTTCCCACTTTCTCCGAATCTGATCTAATTCCCCAGATCAATGTTGCACCGTGAGTTCTAACCATATGGGGGCTCAAGAGGATCTAAAAACCATCCTGTGGAAGGCAACAAAAAGCCTCTCTCCAGGGGTCACGGCTGATCTCCCCTAGTACCTCCAGTCCTTCCCGAGGACCTCTGCGTCCACCCCGTCCCCTCGGGCTACAAACTATAGATTTCCAGTCCACGCAAAAATCAAGTATTGAATATCAAGTCTTTGTTTTCCTTCACAGTAAAAGAACCGCTCAGCCAGGGAGTTACTGACGTGAAACCTCGCGTTTTAAAGTTGGTTTTGAGTACGGAAGCAAGGACTGGCGAACTTGGAGAGAGTCACACTGAATTGGCGGAGAGAGGAACTCCCAGGGGCAGTAGTAATGAGTCTTCTGAGAACGAGCTTGGGCGCTGGCCAGGGACTCTGAGTACTACGGATTCGAAGGCGCCGAGCTCTGCTCAATAAGCTGAGGGTGCGGCGTTCCGGATTCTCTGTCTTGGCTCCCTTCTGGCCGGGTCACTCTCAGAGATGTAGTGCAATCCCTCCAGAGGCTTCTGACCGGGCTAAGCCACCCTGAGGGCACCCTCTGGCCCCACCCTGGCAGCGTCTCCCGCTAGAGGTGTCCCCAAACCCACTTGCATCTCTGCCCCTAAGCCAGCCTCACCCACTCCGGGAAGAGCCCAGCCCGGGTTCCACAGTGGCTCAGTCCACCTCCCAAACCGGAAGTCCGAGCCGGCAACTCGCGGCACCGGGGGCGCATGCGCAAAGGCAGCTACCCAAACTCCAGAACTGGAGCTAGCAGTGCGCCCAGCCGAGCTCGGTACACTTCCGGGACGCGGCGCGCTGGTTCCTTCCAGACTTCCCGTCAGCTCCTCTGGCTGCAGTTGGCAGGGCGGGTTCAGGGTAAACCGCCTAAGCCAGAGGCCAGTGCGTGTGTCGAAGAGGAGGCACCCTTAGCGTGGTCGCCTGGAAGAGCGCTGAAGGAGGAAGCGACGTATCTAAGGATTCCGCCGTGGGAATGATCCACGAACTGCTTCTGGCTCTGAGCGGGTACCCAGGATCCATATTCACCTGGAACAAGAGGAGTGGCTTGCAGGTACCGTGTTGGGCTCCGAGCGCGGGAACCAGCTAATGTAGAATGCGTGCACCTGAGCCAGTGCCTGTAGGCGGAGTCTGAAGGGCAGGGCTTGCAGCACTGGGCAGCGTTTTCCTGGCCAGGTCACTGGAGCGCAGTTCGAGGGGCCCGCTGTGGATGTAAACGCCTTGAGGGCGCCGGGCCTAGGATGAGAAACCGAGGGCCGATCCTGAATGGTCCCTCCTTTGAGGGGGCCTTACTAAGGTCGAGGAGTGTGAGCGAGAATTGCTGGGGAACTGGATATAAAAGTGTACTTTTATATTTTCACTCTTGCATTCTGTTTCAAACTGAGTTTTAAAGGCTGTTCCAAATTCACAGCTTTCAGCACACATAAGCGCTCAGCAAATTTTGCTGAATGAAAAGATGAATTCTAGAGTATGCAGTGTTTCCCTTATTACTCCTTTCCCACTAGGTGAAAAACTTGGTAGGGGACCATTATTCCTTACTGCGCTAGGTAAAGAACTTGGGAGGAGTCCTTCTTGTAGTCAGAAATGTTAGAGGAGGAAGGGCTGTGGGGTAAATATTGTGCATGGGCTTTATCACATTTAATCCTCACAGCCGCCTATATTCCTTTTACAGAATGTTAACTCCCATGGTCATGGCTAGTAATTAGCAGAGCTTAAATTTGAACCCAGATCTCTTGCTCCAGTATCTGAACTACTCGTCTAATTCTGCTTCTAGGAATATTGCCTAATTCTTTCAACTCGGTAATCTAAGTATTTTTAGCCGAAGTTTATAAATGAGCAAAACTGAAGCTCAGAAAGCTTTATGCAAAAGTAAGTTACGGATATAGGTCTGTCTGATGTAGATAAGGTGGATGGGCAAAACATTCTTGTTCACTAAAAGCTATAAGTCAAATAGATTTCTCCTTTTCTTTGTGAATTTGATTTTGGGGTTTGGGAGTTTAGGTGAATTTTTTGAATCGTTAATTTTTGTGTGTAGATCTTTGAAGACTGGGTTGGTATTTCATTTTTCCCCTGTAGAACTCACAATGTCATATAGGAATACAATGTTACAAAAGTATTTGCGGGTACTTGAATATTTTAACTAAAAAAGAGATAATAAATTACAGAAAAAGGGCTGGGGAGGTAGAGAAGAACGCCACAACTAAATCATTATCTCCTTTCCTTCCTTTCTTATTTAAATATCTCAAGCAGATATTTTCCTCAGAGAGAAGTCTCTTCATCAGAAAAACTTTCTCTGACCATGTTTTTAAATTACACATCCTTGGGGCTGGGGCTGTAGCTCAGTGGGAGAGGACTTGCCTAGCATGTGTGAGGCACTGGGTTCAATCCTCAGCACCACTTAAAAGTAAATAAATAAATAAAGGTATTCTGTCCATCTACAACTAAAAAAATATTTTTACATAAATTTCCTTCCCTTATACCATTATTTTCTATCACAGCAATTTATTTATTTCCTTTCTGAGACTAATGACAGTTCATAATTATTTAATGCTAGTACCTGTGTATAGCCTTTTTTCCTGCACAGATAGATAGCCCTTGGTGGCAAAGACCACATGGTATTCATTCATGTACTCAGAATACAATTTCTGCCACACAGCAGGTGCTGGTATTTATGAAAGAAGACAAAAGCAGCAAATAGTGCTTACTTTCAAAAGAGCAGTGTTTTTCACATTTGGTTAAAAGGAAAAACTGTCACAAATGCCTAGGGCTTATGAAACATTTTTATTGTAATATCGAATGTATGTCCACATGAAACTAGATCTAAACTCAAGCATATCGCTCTTTGACAACCATAAAAACAAGTAGTTTTACAAATTAAATTAATCAAAACTACAAAATTAAGAAATTCAAATTAAACTATTCTAATGCAGAGTTTCTCAACCTGCATTATTGACATTTTTGGACTGGATAATTCTTTATTGTAGGGGTTGTCCTGTGTACTCTAGGATGTTAATTAGTATCTATAGCTTACTCACACTAGATGCCAGTAGCATCCCCCCAATTGTGACAACCAAAAATGTCTCCAGACATTGCCAAATGTCCCATTTGCTGTATGCTTGGCACATGTGCTTTTCATATATTAGCTTATTTAATTCTCACAATTATTATCTTCACTTATAGGTGTGAAAATTGTCCCTGACTGAAAAACACAGTTTTGAGCCAGGTGTGGTGGCACGTGCCTATAATTTCAGTGGCTTGAGAGGCTGAGGCAGGGGGATTGTGGGTTTGAAGTCAGCCTCAGCAACTTAGCAAAACTGTAAGCAAATGAGACACTGTCTCAAAAACAAAAAGGGCTGGGGATGTAGCTCAGTGATTAAGTGACCTTGGGTTCAATCACTGGTACCAAAACAAACAAAAACACAGATCTGATATGACATATAATATTATTTTTCTGAAACTAAATTAGCAACACTGAGTTTAAAAGAATGACTTAACTACAGATCTGGCTCTATATTTTCTATTTTCACTTCAATAATTCTAATGTATAGAATGCCAGTTAATACGAGTGTGTTATACAAAATTATTTCAGAAGCCTCAAGATATCATTTGGTGTTTCAGAATAATTAGACCTTAAACTTTTCTAAAACTGCCAACAAGAAATGCTCAAATGCCAGTTATAATGGGGATATCACTTGATAACTGGATAGAGAAGTGTTGTTAGTAATTTAAAAATTGCTTATGTATTGAGCACTTGCTGTATGCTTGGCACATGTGCTTTTCATATATTAGCTTATTTAATTCTCACAATTATTATTTTCACTTATAGGTGTGAAAATTGAAGCACAGAGAGGTGTAGTCGCTTACCTGAACTTTTAAGCAAATAAGAGACAGCTCAGGGATTTAAACCCAAGCAGTCTCCAAAGATTAGGTTGTTAAGCACTATGTCAGGCTACCTCCTAAATTTGTAACTTGAAGATATGATTAATGTTGTGTCATTAAAATCTATATTAAATAGATTCCTAACGAAGTCATTGTGGCTCAGTGACAAAGGTTCTTTGCCTGTTTATTACTGTCATATAAAGATGGCATCCATAAAGTACAATACTCACAATATGAACATGTAATATTCCAAGTTCTTTTGAAGTAATAACTGAATGGTTTTGTTCATTCTTTTATGTCAAATGTTAACACACTGCCTGGGATAAAGTAGGTGTTCATTAAAAGATGGTTGATTCTCCGGGAAAGATATACAAATGGCCAACACACATATGAAAAGATGCTTAGAAAAATACAAATCAAAACCACAATGAAACACCGCTTCACATGCTTGTGGATGGTTACAACTAAAAAAAAAAAATAATAATAATAATAGAAAATAAATCTTGGTGAGATTGTGGAGAAATTAATACTCTTGTGCATTGTTGGTGGGAATGTGAAATAGTACAGCCACTGTGAAAAATTAAATACAATTCCTAAAAAAAAGAAGCATAGAATTACCATTATGACCAGCAATTCCACTTCTGGGAATATACCCAAAAGAAATAAAAGCAAGGTCTCAAAGATATTTTTATATCCATGTTCATAAAGCATATTCACAATTCCAAAAGTTAGAAACAATTCATGTGTCCATCACCAGATGAATGAATAAACAAAATGTGGTGTGTATACACACACACACACACACATATATATACACAGTGTAAAGGAAGGAACTCTGACATATTTTACTTCATAGATGAACCTTGAGGACATTATACTAAGTGAAATAAACCAGTTCTGAAAGAACAAATGTATGTTTCTACTTATATGAGGCAATAATGTATCATATTATTCTAGAGACAGAGTAGAGTGGTGATTGCCAGGGGTTGGAGGCAGAAGAAGGAGTTAGTATGTAATGGGTACAGAGTTTCAGTTAGGAGAAATGAAGAGGTTATGGAGCTGGATGGTGGTGATGGTTGCACAACAGTGTGAATGTGTTTAATGCCATTGAATTCTGTGCTTAAATATGGTTAAAACAATAGGCTTTGTGTATTTTGCCACACTTTAAAAATGTGGTTGAACAAATATATTTCACTACTTTTTTATTATATTATTATTTTAAGTTGTAGATGGACACAGTACTTTTATTTTATTTACTTATGTTTATGTGGTGCTGAGAATTGAACCCAGTACCTCACCTGTATTGGGCATGTGCTCTACCACTGAGCTACAACTGTAGCCCATCCACTACTTTAAATTTGAATTGCTGTGAAACTTTTATACGGCTAGGTTATTTTTTTTTTTTTTAAACTGTTAGGGTTGTTTTTAATTTTCTTTTTTCTTTTTTTTTTTTTAAGTCAACTGTTTTGAAATTTTTTTTTTTAAGAGAGTGAGAGAGGAGAGAGAGAGAGAGAGAATTTTTTTAATATTTATTTTTTAGTTCTCGGCGGACACAACATCTTTGTTGGTATGTGGTGCTGAGGATCGAACCCGGGCCGCACGCATGCCAGGCGAGCGCGCTACCGCTTGAGCCACATCCCCAGCCCACGGCTAGGTTATAATTTGTCCTTCATTTAAATTAAAAATAGAAATGCAAATATAAATAAATTTATATGGCCAGTTACAAGGTACTTTTACAAATTATAGTGTATTTACATTAATTTTAGAGATTTAATGCAATGAAAACAAAATTTAAAATTTTATAGAGAATTTGTAAATCCTAAGAATATGTCTGCAGACCCTTGTTTGAGCAGTATTGCTAAGAGACTTTGTTGGAACCAAGTCAAAAACCCTCACATTCTATAGATTATCCTCTGAAGATTGCATACGAAATAGGTAATAGTGGCTGCCTCTGGGGAGGTTGACTTATCTTTAATGTACACTATTTACCATATGTTAACCTATTTGAGAAGCAAGTAGGTCAGAACAGGGAATACCACCTTTGAAGTGGTTTGGAAATACCTTTCAGAATTTACCAAACTTAAGTGGGCATCTTAAGGAAAATAACAAGAAAGGAAAAGATAAGATAGTATGAAACATTTTAAGCACCCCCAAAATATGGGGCAGTGGCCAGCAGGCATCAATGTTTTTGTCAATGTCCCTCTTCTTGCAGGTGTCGCAGGACTTTCCATTTCTCCACCCCAGTGAGACCAGTGTCTTAAATCGACTCTGCCGGCTTGGCACAGACTATATTCGCTTTACTGAGTTCATTGAACAGTACACAGGCCATGTGCAGCAACAGGTGAGATTCTGATCTCAGGATGTAAACCTTTAGAGGGTAGAAACTGTCAAGCTTTCAGTGAATTCATTGGTGATTTGTGTGAAATAAATTAAGAATTTCTCATCACTGAAAATAAGAGAAGGCAAGGTTGCCAGTTGTTTTTTGTATATGACGCTTAAAAGAAAAGACGGTATCCTCAGCTTGGCACTGTGGTGCAAACCTGTAATCCTGGCAGCTTGGGAGGCTAAAACAGGAGGATCGCAGGTTCAAAGCCAGCCTCAGCAACAGTGAGGGGCTAAGCAACTCAGTGAGACCCTGACTCCAAATAAAGTATAAAACAGGGCTGGGGATGTGGCCCAGTGGTCAGGTGCCCCTGAGTTCAATCCCCAATATTCCTGACCTCCGCAAAAAAAAAAAAAAAAAAACCCTATCTTCTATTAATGTGACTACTTGAATTTTATTGTCCTTTTCATAAGTGAAGATATTCAGTGTTCTGCAATGATAGAAGATCAAAACAAAATTGGCTGGTTGCCAGATTTGAGCTGTTTTCCCGTCTGGGCTATTCTTAGTGTGGCTATAAGGATTTATCTTTAGGAAATACTAGTATACTTTACAGCATCCTCAAGCTACAATGTGTTTTCTAACCCCTCATTCCAAGCTTCCTATCACATTTGTTGCTGATTTTTGCTATGTGACCTACCACCACCAGTGTCTGATCACCCAAGTCAGTATGTAGCCAGAGAGACGATCGTTCATCATAACCTCTTACAAATGTTCAACACAGTTCCCCACATAAAAACTATACAAGATGCTCCTACAAAACAAAAACAAAAACAAACAAACAAAAAACCCTTGGAAGTTTCCTGAAAGATAAGCTGTATTTGTATATTACCCCTTGATGAGAGTCTCATGACCACCCCGCCATGTTGACTCTCAGATTTATGTTCTTGATGAATTGCCAAGCCAGGCAAGAGAAGATATGTTGGGAGGAAGATTGAGGTCATTTTATTCATTCAGTAAATATTTATCCTCTGTTTAAAGAACTGTGAGAAGCTGAGATACAAAGATGAGTAAAGTATGGTTCCTAGCTTTATGAAGTTCATGGTCTAGTGAGCACAACATCTAAATAAAAGTACAGTTCACTAAGTAGGATGTTACGAAAGCAACAAGGTGGAACTGTTAATTCCCAAGAGAGACTTAGAAAGGGCTTTGCAGAGGAGATGTGCTTGAGCTGGGTCCTGCAGAAAGAGTAGGTGTTTGTCAGAAAGATGAGGCACATAGACAGAAGTAGAGTACAAGTCCAAATCTGTAGTGGTAAGGGAGAAGCAAAGCACATCTGGTGAACCATGGAAATAAGAATGCACAGCTGGAAGCAGTGAAAAATAATTGTGGAGAAATGGGTCAAGGCCAGAATGCAGAAGTTATTGTGTGCCATGTAGAGGAATTTGGATATTATTCTGGGGCAATAGAAAGCCACCAAAGAGATTTAAGCTGGGAATGATAAGGCCAAAATTGATTTATGGAAAAATCTCCACTGACTTTATAGAGTACTTTTGGTTGGTTGTGACATCTGGTACTGCTTGGAAAATTAAAATACCACATTTTAAAAGGTCAGTGCTCAAAATGTTTTCTGCTGGGTGTTCCTCTCTGAAGTATTCCTTTGATTTGTAATTATTTAAATGAAAACAATACCACTAATAAAGGACAGTGTCTTCCTCAAGTTTCAGGGCCGGAGCTAAGAAGTTGACTTTTCTTTGTTTGGTTTCAGGACCACCACCCATCTCAGCAGGGACCAGGTGGGCTACATGGAATCTATCTGAGGGCCTTCTGCACAGGGCTGGATTCAGTTCTGCAGCCTTATCGCCAAGCACTGCTTGATTTGGAACAAGAGGTGAGGAAGTGGAGATGTAGGAAGCAATGCTTCTGGGACAGCAGATTGGAGCATAGTCTCAAATCGAAGATGTTCTTTGATAAGGTCAGGTAGTTAAAACTGAGCTATTTGTGGTTGGAGGGTACAGTGTTCTCTCTTTGATCATGACCAAAACATGGTCAAAGTGGCTTAGGAATCATGGCAAAGGTTCCTGAGTGAGCTCTGTAGCGTAGAATTAACACTAAGCCCATTCTCAGATTCTCTTCTAGTTTTATACATGAAATTGATTCAAGATGTTTTTTGTGAGGCCCTAATTACAGTAGTTTTTTACTTGTTTTGTAATGCAGTTCCTGGCTGATCCGCATCTCTCCATATCACATGTCAATTACTCCTTAGATCAGGTATGTATCCAAGTAACAAAATGCCTTGGAATCTGTTGACATTATTAAAATAATCTTATTTATGCCACTCTTTTGAGAATGTTTTTCCTTATAGTACCAGAGTCCAGCATTTTATATTTTGTGCATTTTGTATTCTTTACTACATCAGAACTGCTTAAAGAGTTCCAAATTTAGTTAATAATTAATGTCTCATGTTAATGTTATCATTGAATTCAATATTAAAAATTATGCCAGCCTCAGAAATAGATACTACTTCTGTCTGCTGTCTTCTTCCTGTTTGCATCTTATCCCCAAATCAAATTGCCTTAGTATATACTAACTCTTGACTGTTCTGTGGTATTGTCATTTGTCTTAACTTGAACTATTTAGAAAAAAAGCATTTCCTGAGTTGATTCTTTTCCCTCTGCATTTGATTAACTACCTTTAATTATTCTCTACTTTGCAGTTCCAACTCCTTTTTCCCTCTGTGATGGTTGTAGTAGAGCAAATTAAAAGTCAAAAGGTGAGAACTTTCCTTTTTGCTTTTGCTCTGGCAAACACCAAGGAAATACTAATAATCAAAGTTGCCTTACATTCTTTTTGGTGAAAAGTATACTAGTTCTTAGTAGTTTTTTACTTGTTAATTTACTCATTCAACAGAATCTACTTGTATATCATGCTAAGTGTCAGAAATATAAAAATAAGGCATGGCCTTGTTTTTAAGCACCACCTGGTTCAGAAAACAGACAAATGTTAATAGATAGATCCAGGAATGTTCATGGGGCAAGGTAAAAATGCTATGAATAGTTGGAGGTGAGAGCAATTTACATTAAGGGTATAGAACTGTTGAGTTTGGGTCTTGAGGAGAAGCAGAAAGTTAATTCTTAGAAAGAAGGTGATAGATGTATGGTTAAGGTGCTGGCAGTTTTCTGAGAATTATGAAATCACTGGGTAAAATACAGATGTTTATTAGTTAAACTATGCCTATTCTTGTCCCAAGTTTTCATGATATTCATTGAAAAGTTAAGAGTTCCCAATGTCAAGGAGAATACTCTTTCTTGGCAGAGTTAACAACTTGTATTAGTCAGCTTTGCATTCCTGTGACCAAAATACCTGACAAGAACAACTTAGAGAAGATGTTGTGTACTTTGGGTTCACAGTTTCACAGTCCATGGTCAGCCAGCTCCATTGCTCTGGGCCTAAGGTGAGGTCAAAGCATCATGGCATAAGGGTATGATAGAGGAAGGCTATTCAACTCATGGCAGCTCAGAAGCAGAGAGTCAGAGAAGAACCAGGCAAAAGATATACTGGAAGGCCACGCCCCCAGGAACCTGTTTCCTATAGCCATGCCCTGCCTGCCTATAGTTACCACCCAGTAGTCCATTCAGATTATTATGCATCAAATGGATTAATCCATTGATGTGGTTATAGATCTTATCATCTAATCATTTCACCTGTGGACATTCCTGCATTGCTTAGCACATGAGCATTATGGGGGATGCCTCACAGCCAATCCATAACAACTCTGAAGAATGAGTTGCTTTGAGATTTCATATTAGAAGAAGAGTCTACTCTGCTGTTTACAGTCTGTAATTGGACCAAATAGACAAGGAGATTAAACATGTTTAGCTCAAGTTTACATGTTTTTAAGCTCTCGTATTTATTCGTTAGCATATTAAAAATGTTCACCTAAGGCCAGGGTTGTGGCTCAGTGGTAAAGCGCTTACCTAGCATGCGTGAGGCACTGGGTTTGATCCCCAGCATCACATAACAACAAAATAAAGGTATTGTGTCCATCTACAACTAAAGAGATATTTAAAAAAAATGTTCACCTTGCTGAATGTAACTAGTTATATAATTAATTTGCCACATTGCTGTGTTAATTTTGCTCTGTGAATATAGAAACTTTTATGCTCTGCCTACAAAACCAGTAGGGAGGCTTTCTGTGGCCCATCAAAGCTGACTGCTCTCATCAAATTACAATGTCCAGCTTTTATTGTGCACTTGCTCTATGTTAGATATTTGTAGCAGGTACTGTACTAAATGCTTTACATACATTATCACATTTAAGTATGTTAAAGAATGTGCTCAGAGTCACACAGATGCAAGTAAATTGTAGGGCTGGGATATAAACTCGGGTCTATCTGACTGCAAAGACTATGCTGTAAAATACTAATCTTCTTCCCAAAAATGAGGTTCCCAATGAACCTTCTAGTTTAGTGGAATTAATGGTGAAAGTACAGTATTCCCAGACTGCACAACTAAGTTTACTTTTTCCAGCTTCCATTGGTTACAGGAGAGGAGAGTGGAAAACGAATGAAAGAATTAAAGATGGATGAATCTTCCTTCCTGCCAGAAAGGTGATAGAGAAACTAGTATGCTAAGTAACGCTCTACAGAGTTTAAAAAAAAAGAAATACGTGTGGTCAAGAGCACAGGCTGAGGCAGAGAAAGAGGACTGATCACAATAGGCATGAGAGGGGCTTCTTTTTAAGTGATGAAATGTTATAGAACATCGTGATGGTTGCACAATGCTATAAATTACTAAAAGCTGTTAAATGATACACATAATATGTTTTAATTTTATGATATATAAACTACACAATAAAATATAAATATTTTATATATAAAATAAATTATACAATAAAATATATGAATATTTTTATATAAAATAAAAAATCTAGGTGGCACATACCTTTTATCCAAGCAACTCAGGAGAGTGAGGCAGGACAGCCTAGGCAATTTAGTGGACCCTGTCTCAAAATAAACATTAAAAAAGGGCTGGGGATGTAGCTAAATGGTAGAGCATTTGCCTAGCATATATGAAGCTTTGGGTTCAATTCCCAGGAACTAATACACACACACACACACACACACACACACACACACACAGCCTAAAGTACACAAAGGCAGTGAATTTGTGGGGGAGTATATACCTTACAAGTATTCTGAATTGGGTCTTATCCTGAAATAAAAAATTTTCCATGATTTTGGAATTCTGATTGTAAATGATTCTGGTTTCTTTAGTGCATTTGTTCTCAAATTTCACTGCACATAAGAATCACCTTGAGGGGGCAAGGGAGGGGGCTCAGTAGTAAAGTGCTTCCCTAGCATGTGTGAGGCCCTGAGTTCAATCCCCAGCACTACCAAAAAAAAAAAAAAAAAAAAGATGCAGATTGCTGAGTTTTTCTTGCAATTTGCATTGCTGCCTATCTACACATTATGTGGATGGTGCTTGGGGGGAGGAGCCCATCTTTGACAACTCCTGTCAGAAGTCTTGTGAAATAGTGTATCCACATTTTCTACTATAGTGTACCCACTTGATTGAGTATAGAATATGAATTGATATTGCTTGAACTGTTTGAATCCAGATTGACAAGTCTGTATTTTCCTCAGATTCATGGTTGTCAAATCCTAGAAACAGTCTACAAACACAGCTGTGGAGGGTTACCTCCTGTTCGAAGTGCACTAGAAAAGTAAGTGATGGATTAATTGAGGTTGGGGATAGCGGGGGAGGTCAAGTAACTTGACTTCTCTTGTATTTTGTTTTCAGATCTTCTCAGGTTTCCCTCAGGGTAGAGTTTTGACCAGGATAGAAAATCCTATAAGCAGATGAGCCCATGTAATCCTTATGGTGGTTCAGGATCATCTGCAACGAGACGCTTATAAAATAAAGTATCAAAGCCAGGGTTAGCTGCCAAGTTGACCTTGAGGCAATCTTTTTTAATTTTTGGATCTCATTATCCTTGCAGGATTCTCATTACATGTGCCAGATACTGCTTATTATGCTTAAATATGCATATGTGTAGCCAGTATTGTGTTAAAATACTTTGTAATCCCACAGTGTCATAAACATATGCAAGGTTGTCTTTATCAGCAAATTAGAAAATTACCAGAAGAAAAAATAAATAAAGATATATTCTCTTGATAGACTATAAAGCCATTAAGATTATAAACACCATAGTAACATGTAAAAAAACTTCATATGATACTTACTGAAAGATGAAACAAAATTGTATTTGTTTTAATAATTACAATTGTATAAAAATTAATGTTAAGTATTATTAGAGGTTATTTTTTGGATCTTTTCACTCTCCTCTTCCTCATTTTTAAAAGACGGTATGGAAGGGTATGATGGTTCATACCTCTAACCCTAGAGACTGGGAGACTGAGGCAAGAGAATTGCAAATTTGAGGCCAGCCTCAGCCACTTAGCAAAACCCTATCTCAAAAAATAAAAAAGGGCTGGAGATGTAGCTCAGTGATAAAATGCCCCTGGGTTCAGTTCCCAGTACTACAAAAAAAAAAATAAATAAATATTAAAAATTAAAAATGGAGTGTAGTATTAATTGTAGTAGATGATCTGTAAGACTCTTCGCAACTCTTCCCCCCACCCGCCCCAAAACCATACATGGGATTGAACTCCAGGCCTCACACTTGCTAGGCAAGCACTCTATCATTGAGCTACATTCCCAGCCCCTCTTCACAACTCTTTTTTTTTTTTTTTTGCTACTGGAGATTAAACCTAGGGACACTTAACCATTGAGCCACATTCCCAACCCTTTTTTATATTTTATTTAGAATCAGGGTCTCATTGAGTTGCTTAGGGTCTTGCTAAGTTGCTAAGGCTGGCTTTGAACTTGCAATCCTCCTGTCTGAATCCCAGGTGCTACAATCCACATTTTCTACTGTATTTTACCCACTTGGTTGAGTATAGAATAGGAGTTGATATAAAGTGTTATCCTGTATCTGGAGCCAATGGGATTATAGGTGTGTACCACTACACCTGGCTCACAACTCTTGAAACACTGAACAAGTAAACCCTCAGCAGAGCAGGAAACTTTCCAAAACATGCAATGGGGACTGAATCCTCTATTATGTATTCAGAATATAAAATCTCATGTAAATAATATTGATACATGTATTTGATATATATTTTGAGAGATCAAATTTTATAGATGTTCATAAATGTAAATGGTTTTCAATTTGACTTTTTTTAAAAAAAGAGACAGTCTATCGAGTTAGTATACTAAAAATAGTAGGCTTGAGTTCCTGTAGTTTTTTTGTTTTTGTTTTCTTGTACCAGGAATTGAACCCAGGAGCACTTAACCACTTAGCCACATTCCCAGCCCTTCTTATTTTTTATTTTGAGACAGGGTCTCACTAAGTTGCTTAGGACCTCACTAAATTATTGAGGCTGGCTTTGAACTTGAGATCCTCATCCTACCAAACTGCTGGATTATAGGTATGCACCACTGTGCCCAGCTCCTGTAGTTTCTTTTTCTTCCCAACTTTTGAAAAATTTCAAACCTGCAAAAAAGTTGAAAGAATATTACAGTGAAACACTTGTACATTCTTTAGTTTTACCAGTAGTTAACATTTTGCCACATTTATTTTTTTCTATTTCCCTTTTGGGTATGTATGAAATACACACATGCCCTAATTTTTAAAATTGAATCATTAGGATATAGTTGCAGATGCCTTAACACTTAACCATAAGACTTCATCTTGTATTTCTAGAAAAAGCATTCTCTTATTTAACCTTAGTACCATATTACACCTAAGAAAGCTAACATTGGTTCCATAATACAATATCTAGAATGTATCCACATTTCTCCAGTTGTTCCAAAAAGTCCATTACAACTGTACTGTTTTTGCAGTTCAGGTTCCAATCAGTTTTCACACTGCATTTGGTTGTCATGTCTTTTTTAGTCTCCTTTAATTTGGAATGATCCCCCTTGCCTTTTGTTGTTGTCTATGATAATGACTTTTTATAAGAGCCCTTACCAGTTGTCTACAGAATATTCCACAATCTAGATTTATCTGATTCTTTCTTCATGATTAGATTCAGGTTAAATATTTTTGGCAAGAAAACAACATAGATGATAGTATTTCTCATTCCGTCATACCAGAAAGCACAGAAAGTAAATTTAGCCCATTACTGCTGTTGTGAAGTTTGATCAGGTCTCTTGTCCATCAGATCTCTCCACTATAGAAGTTTCTTTTCCCCTTTGTAATTAATCTGTTATCTGGTAGGTAATCCATTGAGACTATCTCAATATTCTATTTCTTAACAATCTTTCCGTATTTTATTTTCATTTCTGCATTTTGTCAGATAATGCATTTTCATATATTACTGGCACTAACATTGAATCTTCTTTTTCTATGTAATTTCAACAAAAAGAAAAATAAATTTAATACTGTGTCAGCTAAAAAGAGACTCCATTAAGTCCATTTCAACTTAATGAGATTCAACAGTTTTGAAACTTTACACAAAGAAAGGAAAGAGAATGTGCCTCTCCCAAAAGAGTATCACAACATTTATGTAACCTTTTCAACTTCAGAATGTAGGCTGCAACTATGGAAATTTAATTACTTAGTTCATCCACAAATAATTAAATTAAAATAGCACAATTATTTTTAACTTAATTTGTTATTTCCCCCTATGACTCACCAAACTCTCAGGCCTCTCTTTATCCTGTAGCATGGCTTCTGAGGTGCTGGTTCAAGTCATATTCTTTAAGTAGACCACTAAAGCTCTTGCTCTCCTCTCTCCTCAGAATCCTGGCTGTGTGTCATGGGGTCATGTATAAACAGCTCTCAGCGTGGATGCTACATGGACTCCTACTGGACCAGCATGAAGAGTTCTTTATCAAACAGGGTCCATCTTCTGGTAATACAAATGCCCAGTCAGAAGAGGATGAGGAGGATCTGGGCATTGGGGGATTGACAGGAAAACAACTGAGAGAACTCCAGGACTTGGTGAGAGCACAGCAAGAAGCCCAGCATACTCCTGCCAGGAGTCAGAAAAGTCTGCAACTAAATCATCTTTTGCTGATTCCTCTTCAGAGATCATAGTCTGAGCACCTTCCCTAAATTCTTAGGTGTAAACATTGCTTTCTCTTAACTATTATGAGAGAAGAAAATAGAAAATATGATTGCAAGGTTCTGGGGATATAGCTCACTTGCCTGCCATGTAAGAGGCTATGGGTTTGATCCCCAGCACCAGAAAAAAAGAAAATTTAATTGTGAGATTCTTTTTGCTTCCCCTTTTACCATTGTATGCATTCAAGAGGTAATAAGTCTCATCTCTACAAATAATAGCTACCCTGTAGCTTTTCAAAATGCCTTTTGGAGTTTTGATTAGACTTCTCAAAATCCTGTATTGCCCATATTCATCCATCCAGCCATCTGTTTATACTGTTAAAACATTTTATTGAATGCCTGTTACATACTAGACATGATTCTGGATGTCATGCCTACATAGACAAAATGTAATCCTTGTCCTTAACCCATTATGTCCCATCATCCTATATATAGGACACCTATAAAAATTTAAATTGAGGAATCTCATAGGTGTCCTATAAAATTTTATTTTTTTATAGGTGTTCTCTAGAATGGTGGTACATAATGGATTAATGGACTTATAGTTTAGTGGAAAATGAAGAAAAGTAGACCATTGGTATTATAGTATACCAGGGATTCTGAAAAAGAATAAATATAGACATTCTTGGAAGATGTCTTAGAGTAGAGTTTTGGAGTAACTAGAGAAGGGTTTTCAGTGGAATGTTATGTCTGAATTGCAAAGGACTTGGGAGGCAGGTTAAGATATATCCAGGCAGAGTGAATGATTCATATAAAGGTACAGATCCTGTGGAAGACATGGCTTGTTTGAGGAACCATTAGTGATTCAGTTGAAATGGTCAAAGCCTAAAGTAATATATGTTAGAGATGGTGGCCGGGGAGAGGGCGGGTGGCAATTGATGAGACTATAAAGTAGTATATAAAGAAGGTCCCTGTAAACAGTGGGAAGGAGCTCTTGAAGAATTTTAGGCAAGACAGTAACATGATCAGACTTTTTGATCACTCTGAATGCTGTGTGGGAAATCAATTTTTAAAAATTAGTATTGTAGGCAGGTAGACCCATTAGGAGAATGTTGGGAATACTTAGAGAAAAAGTATAGTGCCCTAAACCAAGGGCGGTAACAGTGAATACAGAGAAAAGCAGATAGGTCTGGGAGATGTTGGGGAGGTAGAACCAGTAGGTCTTAGCATTTGGTTGGCTGTGGGTTGAGGGAAGAATCAAGGATGATTTCTGCCTTCAGCATCCAATTGAGTGTGTTAATAGGGCATGTGTTCTGGTGGTGTTTGGGAAAGATGGTTCTAATTTGGGGCATGTTGAGTTTGAGGAACTTGTGGGAAATGTCCAGTGGGCTTAGCCTGAGGCTCATGAGAGCAGTGTAGCTTGTTCTGAATCTAAATACGGAGACATCAACATATAGCTCAGAAGTTAATTTGGGGTACATGGGTAGCTTTAAGAGGTTCTCTGAAATGTACATTTGTCTGTACAATAGATATGTACATTTGTCTGGTAGGTCCATAGATTTTATAATTTCAGAGAGGCCTGTGACCTAAAAAGATTAAAACTGTCCTGATATATCCTGAAGCCACAGAAGATGTGATTATCCCAGAAGAGTGTAGAGCAAGAGAAAAAGAGGGTCTGGGACAAGGCCTGAGGAACTCCAGCAGAGCAGATATGTATATAAGACCTGGAAAAATAAAGACCAGCTTCTTGCATTATACAAGTAAAGAAGCTCATGTACTGCCCAAGTTTTTACATAGTAAATACAGGCAGGGTTAAAAATTCTGATGGTTAGGGAAAAAAAATGAGTTAATGGACTTATAGTTTAGTGGAAGGTGAAGAAAATTAGACCATTGGTATTATAGTATACCAGGGACTCTGAAAAAGAATAAGTATAGACATTCTTGGAAGATGTCTTGGAGTAGAGTATTATTTCCACCATGCCATCCTGCTGCTTGAAAATGAAATATCTCTCTCCAAGAATTATGCAGCTTCAGGTTTACATTCTCTGAATATAAACATAAATATAAATCGCAGGTTGAGAGAGTTACTAGGTATTTCCTTGTTCTCTTTTCATACTTCATCTCTGATACAGATTATTTCCTTGATTAGCGCCTGATTGAGGAAGAGAACATGCTGGCACCATCTCTCAAGCAGTTTTCCCTACGGGTAGAGATTTTGCCATCCTACATTCCAGTGAGGGTTGCTGAAAAAATCCTCTTTGTTGGAGAATCTGTCCAGATGTTTGAGAATCAAAATGTGAACCTGACTAGAAAAGGTAGGAATTTCCTTACCCAGTATGCCACATCCTCAAAGGTACTTCTTGAGTAATATTTTATGGCCCAAAGAATACCTGGTCAGAGAGAGTGGCTGAAAATACTTGTGGATTGTCATTGCAGCATAGTGCCTGAGAAGTGGGTAAAACTGCTATCTGTTCTGATACACCTTGTCTGTCCTGTTTTGCTTTGACAGTGCCTTCTTATTCCGCAGGATCCATTTTGAAAAACCAGGAGGACACTTTTGCTGCAGAGCTGCATCGACTCAAACAGCAGCCACTTTTCAGTTTGGTGGATTTTGAGCAGGTGGTGGATCGTATTCGCAGTACTGTGGCTGAGGTTTGTCTTTCATCTTATGTTGTTTCAGGAAGAAAATGGATTATTCCCCAGTTTCTTCTTCATGTGCCTAGAGCCTAGCTTGCAGAGACTTGAGAGAATTAATAAGTAGAAAATGAAAACACTTTATTTTTAATAAGGTAGGGTTTTTGTTGTTAATGAGTTGAATAAAGAGGAGGTCTTGGTTTCATTTCTGACAGTCAGCAGTCTGTTTATGTAGTTGGCAGTAACTCCAAGGAATCAAATAATTCTAATTTTAGTGCCTTAAATTTTAGTGTAGGAGGCTTGGGATATAGCTACTTGGTAGAGTGTTTGCCTCGCATGCACATAGGCCCTGGGTTCAATCTCTAGCACCACAAAAAAGAAAAAAAAATTTAGTGTAGTTTTATAACATATATTTCAGTTATATATATGATAATCTTCCAAGTAAAGCACAACAAATGCTAGTGAAACTGTCTGGAGCTCAGAATACGTTAGAGTTCTGTGTTCTTAAGTTTGAATGCCAGTTTAAATTGTAACCAATAAATTTTCAAATGGACATATGTTGTATGACTTTTAATACTTAGTTCATAGGCATGTGACTAATGTAGATAATGTGAAGTCAGACCTTCAGTCAGTTGTTAATGGTTTTCAGCCTTGACTAGACAAATCACAGGGGGAAATTTTAAAGCATGCACTTACACCAAGTCCTTTCTTACAAAGCTTATGATTTGGAGGTCAGGAGGGATAGGTACATTTTGATTTAAAGAAACCATCTGCCAACCAACAGGCAGACTTCTACAGGTGATTCTGAAGCACCAACAGGGCTAAAAAACCACCACTATGTCTGTACTTGGAGCTTAGCATCAGATTTCCTAAGGCTAGAAGCATAATAATCTATTACAAATGTGATTTCCTTTTCTGATTACTGTTTCAAAAAATCTTAGGTTTCAAAGACATAGCCATGATATAGACCCAGAATCACACATTTTAAAATGGCCATGAAATATCATTTCATTTGATGCTTTATGGGCAATAATCTATTATATAGAATTCATGTTTCTTTCATTAAAATTTCAAGACAGTTGCTGGCCTGTCTATATAGCCCAAGGCAGGTTCTTGTCTAAAAGGAGCTAGTATCTATTGTTGAGAGCCACAGCTGAAGGGCCCCCAGCAAACTTCCAGCTGCCAGCTGATGATTGGCTCACAGCGGCCCCAGCAACTTCTAGCTGCCAACTGATTGGCTCCTCTGCGGTGATGCTCATTGGGCTGTTTCCCTGCCCTTTCAGACCATGGAGCCTCTCATTGGGGGACTTTTTTGGCTCCGCCCACGCGACACAGCCATCGGCCTCAAGAGCAGGAGGAGAAGGGGAGGTKGAGAGGCTTGTGGGAAGCCGGTGGTGGCAGTTGGGCTTTGAAGGGTTTTCCTGAGGAGCTGTTTTGTTTGGCGTGTGTGGTTCTAAAAATAAAGTTTGTTTCTTTTGACAAGTGGCTCCTGAATTGTGCCCAGCCAGACTGTGGCAATCTATAATTCCTTTTTCTTTTTTAGTAAATTTATTTCTGCCCTGTCTTTGTGTGTAACTCCTTGGAAAATATAATTAGTGGAGAAAAGTAAAATTTTATTGAGTTATAAGAGGTATCAGAATTGTTCTTTTGAAATTTTGAAATAAATACATTGCTAGAAATATTTCCAGGTTTTTTAAAAAATATTTTTTAGTTGTACTTGTCACAATACCTTTATTTTATTTATTTATTTATATGTGGTGCTGAGGATTGAACCCAGGGCCTCAAATGTGTTAGGCAAGCAAGCACTCTACCGATGAGCCACAACCCCAGCCCCATTTCCAGATTTTTAAAAATAATAGGCAAAGAATCAAAGCTCAGATTCTTTTGACTCTTTTGAGGTTTCCTAGAACTGTAGATAGTAGACTGCTTTGAGAAGTATTATAACAATGATAACATAATAATGAAAACAAATAGTGTGCCCAGAAGGAAAAAGGAAGAGTCTTTCGGATCTTTTCCTGCTTTTTTCAGTTTTTAAAAAGAATACCTACATAGCAATCTGTTCTATAAAATTCAAAAACAGACAGAATTAACCCAGTGCTAGATGTTAGGATAGTACTGGTTCTTCTTTAGTCATTGGAAGGGAGAGAAGGGCTTCTTCGATCTGATAATGTTCAATGTGTTCCATTTCTTGATCTGGGGATTGGTTATAGAAGTGTATTCTGTTGTGAATATTTCTCATGCTATTAGCTTATGATTTGTGTACTTTTCTGTATCTTAGAATCCTTCAACAAAAGAGTTTTAAAAAATTATCCGATACTTAGTAGTTTTTATTTTAATTATATCTTCAGTTGGTTATTGCTTATATAAGTAATAATATTAAAGCTGGACACAGTAGCACATACTTATAATCCCAGTGACTGGGATGCTGAGGCAGGAGGCTAGTAAGTTTGAGGACTGCCTGGGCACATAGTGAGACCCTGTCTCAAAATAAAATTTAGAAAGGGCCGCAATGGTAGCTCAGTGGTAAAGTACCCTGGTTCAACTTGCATTATGTAATAATAATAATAATAAAAATAATATATTATTAATTTTTTTAAGTTGATAAAACCTGGCAACTTGTTTAACTCTTTTAGTTCTAATAGTTCAATTCTATTTTGTAGGTAGTTGACCATAGCATCTGCAAGTAATGAGACTTTTGCAATTTTTAAATTTTTTTTCTTACATTATTAGCTAGAATTATTTTTTTTCTCTCTTTTAGCTGGGATCTTTAATACTATATACAACAGCTAGGATGATATTTATGTAAATTGTTAAACAGTAGGGATAATAATAAATATCCATGATTTGTTGGCCCTTGAAGTTTATACATATTAGTTTCTCCATTATAGAGTTTAATGTGGGCTTCTGGAACATAAATTCATCAGGTTACAGTAAATGTCTTCTATTCCTGGTTTGCTAAGGGTTGTTATGTAAATGTTGAATTTTATCAGTTGCCCCTTTTGTATTAATAAGAAGTACAGTTTCTGGCTTTTATGTTTCTCCTTTAGTCTATTCATATAGAAATTTCTGGTTAGAATTTTCAGATGTCCAATCTTCCTAGAATAATCTGTATTCCATTGTGATGTTTTATTTTGTAGCATATGGTTGGATTTGGTTAACCAATACAATATTTAGATTTTTTTTTTTTTTGCATCTATATTTGCTAGTGGAAAAATGGTTTTACTGTTGTTCTTAGGTGGTTTTGGAATAAAGATTATATAAGCCTTATAAAATGGACTTATAAAATGTAGCTTTTGTTCTCTTTCTATTTTTTAGAAAAGCTTATATAAGACAGGAATTCTTACTAAAGGTTTGAATTTACCTGAAAAACTAGGTTTCTTTCTTTTTTTTTTTTTTTTTATACAGGGAATTGAACCCAGGGGCACTCAACCACTTAGCCACTTCCTCAACCCTTTTTTATATTTTTATGGCAAGGTAGGATCTTGGTAAGTTGCTTAGGGCCTCACGAAGTTGCTAAAGCTAGCTTTGAACTTGCAATTCATCTGCCTCAGCCTCCTGATAAGCTTAGGTTTCTTTAGGAAGGAAAACTTTACAGTTCAGTGTGTTTAAAACCTATTGACATAAAACATTTACTTCTTATTTATATATTAAATACATGACAATAGTGGAATAAACATTTACTTTTTTTAAATTCTTTTTAGTTGTAGATGGACACAATATCTTTATTTATTTTTATGTGGTGCTGAGAATCAAACCTAGTGCCTCATCCGTGTAAGGCAAGTGCTTTACCACTGAGCCCCAGCCCCAGCCCCAAACATTTACTTCTTAATGTAAAAATTTTTAGGAACTTATTCATTTCCTCAAGATGTATTTTTAAAATTCATTGATGCCTACATTTCTCCTTATTTTCTTCCTTGTTTCATGATTTATATTAAAACAGTTTTTAGCTGATACATAAACATAAAAATTGTATATATAGGGATACCATATAATGTTTCCATGTATGTATACATCAAGTGTGATTAAACCAGGTTAAGCATATTTATCTCAAACATTTTTTATGCAAAACCTTTCAAATCCTTTCTTCTAGCTTTTTGAAATGTATCGTACATTATTTTTATCTCACCCTATTGTGCAATAACACATCAGAATTTTTTTGCTCTATGTAAGCACTAACTGTAATGTAGTGTTTATTGATCAACCTTTTCCTATCCTTTTGCTAACTCCTACTATCTGTCTCTCTTTCAACTTCTGTAAGATCATCCTTTTTAGATTCCACATGAGTGAGATCATGTGGTACTTGTCTTGCTGTGCCAGGATTACTTTACATAATGTAATGAATTCCAGTTCTATCATGTCACAAATGGCAGGATTCTATTTTTTTTTTTTTAATAGTTGAATGGTATTCCAGTGTGCTTTGTGCCACATTTTCTTTTCCTTTTCCCCCTCCTCTCCAGTACTAGGGATTGAACATAGGGCTTGGCACATGCTAGGCAAGCACTCTACCACTGAGCTATATCTTCAGCCCTTTTTATTTTTATTTTTAGATTTTTGGGACAGGTCTTATCAATTTGACCTTGAACTTGTGATCCTTCTACTTCAGCCTCCTGAGAAACTTGGATTACAGGGGTGGTCTACCATGCCCCTCTGTCTCTTATTTTCTTAATCAATTCATGAGTTGACGGACACTTAGGTTGATTGAATTTCTTGACTATTGTGATTACTGCTACAGTGAACCTGGGAGTGTAGCTGTCTCCTCACCATACTGATTGCATTTCCATCAGATACATACCCAGTGGTGGCATTGCTGGATCATATGGTAGGTCTATTTGTAATTTTTTATCCATACTCTTTTCCATAGTGGCTGTACTAATTTATATTCCTGCTAAAGCCAAAGGACAAGGATTTCCTTTTAACCACATCCTTGCAAGTACTTTTTTTTTTTAGTCTTTTTAATAATACCATTCATTATGGCTTTGATTTGCATTTTGCTGATAATCAGTGATATTGAGTATTTT